TCCTCAAGTTTACCTTTCGGCACTCTGCAGATACAGTTTGTACCGAAATTCGTATCCCTCGTCTGAATGCAGCGCAGACAGCACAAATTTTCATAGCCAACCTTCTTCCACTTGGCAATCAAATTTTTGTCAGCAATATTTTCATTCAAACAATAATCATACAATTCTGAAATAAGTAAAAGCGTAAAGAAACCAGATATATCTTTTACATCCTTTTTAAAGATTAATCTTTTAAAATCCTTTTTTTTTACGATATTTAACTTACCGCGACTAATCGCCTTTCTCCTGTAAAACAAGTCATATATATACCGAGATTTCTGATGATGTATTTTGAATATCGGCCATAAGGACTCCTGTTTTCTCTTGCCTTCATGAGGCTCCGTCTCGGCTGTGAAGGAAGAAAAAGAAACCGCGTCTTAAAGCATCCTTCCTATTAAACTAATAGGAAACAACTAATCTAACCTCGCAAAGAGCAAAACACCTCACCTTCGCGCATCTTTTGCTCCAATTCTTCCAGAGTCGGTTCGATTAGCTCCCAACCATCCGGAGGCGGTTTCTTGCTTCGTCGTACTTTTGGCATGATTTATTTTCAAATAAATATTATGTTTCAAGAAGTTCTATTAACAAACAGCGGTACACTATTCCATCATAAAGATGCCTTTTCATACTGACGCTCGACGCTCATTTTCGACGTCACAAAATAAGTCACATGATCAAAATTGACACTTAATATTCGTCAATTTCTATCGTCAACATGAAAAGGTACCTTAATTGATGTGTCATAGACGGGATAATAGCAAGAGAACATGTGAGATGTTAACGACCACTTTTCTATCTCACTCCCACTCGATTATTTATCGCATACGCATTTTTATCAAATTTCTTTTATTCACGTGTATACATGCCAGTGCATACGTGCATGATTAGCGAGATATTTGGAAGAGTGGCTTGGAGTGGATATTAGCACAACTACCTTATAAATTTTATCAGTATTTATCTCCGTGTATATATAGTAGAACTAGAGAGGAACTGCACGAGATTACAGCCACATCAATTGTAACTGTATATTTTGTATACAGAATATTTTAAAATGTTATCGAACGATTTAAACTTTTACACAAGGAAACTATGAAAAAAGAAAATAAATTGTTGACGGTTTGGCGATTTTGACGATTTAAGTCTGATGTGAACGAGTAGCGTATAATTCTATATTCCGACTTTAAATTAATAATATAACGAAAAATTAATCTAAGATAAATGATTAGTCTCATAATTGAGACTCGATGCGAATTTGTAAATTTGGAGTTTTTTTTCCAAAATCCGCAAATCTATTTCATAATCTTAATTTAACAAGCGACTCCATACTTCCCAACACAAAATGCGTGACTAATAACGTATCCGGTTATTACCGGACACCTTGTATAACAGCAAGTATTAAAAAAAGGACCGGCAATATCATCTAATATCATCTCTGACGTCCAGGTAATGTGACGAATGGTGATAAAAGTCGTCGTGATTTCAAGAGGGTTACATACGCATTTATTTCTTGCCTTGATTGTCATTGATAATGTTATTCGGCCATCACTAGGATTAATATTTCACCTTTTGTACAAAAATCGTCACAGAAGAATGGGTCAACGAGTCTCAAGAACAGATTTCGAATGGATTTATACGGAGGAACCGCACGCCTCACGGCGTAAAATAATTCTAGGTAATATGAAACTCGCGAGAAGATCAGGATGTGTGATATTTGATGATTTTATATACATATATATATATATATATGTATATAAAATTTTATTGTAAATATTTGAATACTGCTCTCGGAATATTTGACACATAATTGTAAAATTAGAAAGACAGATACGCATAACCACACCTATTTTGAGGATTATCTGCTCGCAAATATCTTTATGATAAAATAATACTTGAAAACAACACTGCAAAACATTAATTAAACTTATAGATGTTTATGACATTTTTAATTTATTGTTATTTAAAACATAAAGTATTGCTTTTGAGATATGTTTAAATATCTGTTTATTCAGCAGTGATGAGAAGTGACATACTGATAACATATGTGAATGACATAACTAAGTAAATTTATTGTAACTATTTGATATTGTACAAATTTATATTGGAATGTATGATAGGAAAAATTCAACAAGTCTAATTAAAATAATATTACTTTTAGAAATGTATTTTATGTTGATTTTCATGTAGTTTATCAAATTTTATAATTTCTACAGTACAATTAAATATATACTTGTATTTAAATCATATTAAAATATAAATTTTTTTAATTATAATTTTTGAAATACCTTTTATTTTAGAGAAATATCCACAAATTAAGCAGTTGTTTGGATATGATCCAAATTTCAAATGGGTTGTTACTGGGATGGTATTAATACAGTTCCTATCATTCTTTATTGTAAAAGATTTGAGTTATCCCAAACTCTTGCTATTAGCATATTGCTTTGGAGGTGTAATAAACCACTCTCTTATGCTTGGTACGTATATATATTTTATTTATTATATTTACATTTTATTCAATACAGTAAAATTAGAATTTATCAAGCATCATGCTAATGTTTAATACATTAACATTTTTGGTATATGTACTATGCTAATTTGTATTTATTTTGCAGCAATACATGAAATATCTCATAATCTTGCCTTTGGACATGCCAGACCTATGGCTAATCGAATATTTGGTTTTTTTGCAAATTTGCCAATAGGAATACCGGTATCTATCAGTTTTAAGAAATATCATCTTGAGCACCATCGTGTGAGTATTGCAAGTAATGGTAAAAATTGATAATAAATTGTTGCATTATCTAGTAATTTAATATATTTTAAATCATATTTAAGAGGTGTAACTTTTTGCATTTTTAGTATCAAGGAGATGAAAAATTAGATACAGATCTACCAACATTATTAGAAGCGAAATTATTTTGTACAACTTTTGGGAAATTCTGTTGGATACTGCTACAACCTTTTTTCTATTCATTTCGACCTCTTGTAACTTATCCAAAAGCACCAACTTCATTAGAATATATAAATTTAGTTATACAATTGATATTTGATGGTTGTGTATGGTATTTTTTCGGTAAGTTTCAAAATTTGTAAAATATCAGGATGCAATTTATATTAATAATATAAATTAGTAGAAATTGTGAAATTCAGTTATTAATAAAAAATAAAATCTGATTTTTAGGTGGTAAAGTACTATTTTATTTGCTTTTTGGTTCTGTTACGGCAATGGGATTACATCCTGTAGCAGGTCACTTTATATCGGAACATTACATGTACAAAAAAGGTTTTGAGACTTACAGTTATTATGGTCCTCTAAATTTCATTACTTTCAATGTTGGATACCACAATGAACACCATGACTTTCCTGCAGTGCCTGGTTCGAGATTACCAGAAGTATGTCAAAATATTCATTATAGCTTAGATGTAATTGTTATACATAATATAACTTGTTTATTCTTTCACATAACTATATTTTTTACATTTTAGGTAAAACGTATAGCAGCAGAATTTTACGATAATTTACCACAGCACAATTCATGGGTTTCTGTTTTGTACGATTTTGTGATGGATCCTGAAATCGGGCCGTATGCAAGAATGAAGAGAAGGCATCGAGGATTAAATTGACAGATTTTCTAATTCTTAGTTTTTCTAAGAATGTGTGTACTACATAAGATTTATACAATACTAATATATTGTTATGCAGAATTGCATATTATAATACAATTTAAAAATTGCAATATTCGGAAAAATGAAATGTGAGAGTTATATGCTGAAAAAGAGACTTGTAAGCATATTGCGTGCATTGTAATAAATTTCAGAAAAATTTAGGGATAATATATATTATTCTACGGGCAAGCAACTTTTCAATGTTTCTATTAAGTTGTTTTCACGAAGGTTTTTAAATCTAGTTTTCATGGAAGTCTATTTCTTGAAATCTAGTCACTATGCTACCAATAACTTTTGATTAATTATTCACGTCATTTAATATGCATTATTTTTTCTGCTCAGTTAAATAGAAAAAAGATAGATAATGCATAATTTATCTTCAATTCTAATTAAAATTTTGACCAATTTAAATTGGCTACCAATTTCTTTTATTTAACTATAATGCTGTTTAAATTAACTAAATTGTAGTTAACATGATATTAATATTTTTGATGAATTTGGAATTTTTAATCGGATTTTCGAGACTTATTAATATTGTTCCAGATCCCATCTATATTTATGATTTTACAAGTCCAAATTTTTCAATTAAATTCACATAAAAATTCTATTTTAATCGTTTGAAATAATTTAATCGGTATTATAGTAAAAAATGTTATATATTTTACAGAATAAAATGGATCTGTGATAAAAATATATATTATAATATAACGATTTTAATAGAGGGTATTGTCAAAAACTTATAATTAGATTATCTTGCAGAGAAATGCTTGATGCTACGTTATATAACACAAAATTGTATATATTACTTTAATGAGAAACTGTAATAATTCATAGACTATTTGTCAAATAAAATAATATTGTATATTTTCCAATAAATTTAAAAACATTAAAATGAAACGTATATATAAAATTTCTAAGAATTATTTTATTTTAATTTATTTTATACTAAAGGGGGTTATATCGAGAAAACAAAAGTCCAAATTCGAGCCGGATCCACAGATCACGAGTCAATCGCATTGAGTGATGAGCCACTCGGCGTCCCAAAAAATCTGGTTGTGACTGTGAAGGAAATTGTTCGTCACGGGATGTGTGGTTGTTGTGTTTGTGTGGGGCTACGGTTTCGCCAGACTGCCGTTTGATTCTGTGTCGCTAACTGAGTATTCAGGCGCCTTTAAAGAGCACATCGAAGTACACGTGTTCGATTGTATGGTATTAGAATCTGAGGAAAATATCAATATTTAAGATAAAATATTTAAGATTTATTAAAAGTACTTGCACATAAACCGACTGCACTTTGTATGCAAAATATGTTTGCGCTAACGCTTAAGTGAATGATCTAAATAAAATAATCTTTGTTAGAAAAGATTTATCAATGATTTTAAGGTTAACATGTAAGCATTACTTTTTGTGTGACACGTTACATCATTTTATATTAATGACAACAAAATTACGAGTCTTATTTTACAATAAATATTAGAACACATTGCAGCATATTACTTAAATGCATATATTATTTATTATTTTTTTGGAAATTATTTCAGAATTTTTCTTAGAAGATGAAGAAAGAATTTGATGATCATTTCACTACTGGTGAAACTACCACTGGTGTTAGACAGAAATGGTACGAGGAATATCAGAAGACAGAAGGACCCTGCAAGCATTCCAAGTCCGAAGCTGACGTTCTGCATTTAAGGGATGAGGCAAAGAGGTATTTGGATGTAGAAACCACTGCCTTTCAGTTGAAACAATCCAGATCACATGATTCAGAGACGAAGTGGTTAAAAACTGCATTGCAACGAGGTACCACCTCGGATAAAATAGCAGCTAGTATAGTGCTGGTGCAAGATAATCCTAAATATAATCTCAGTCGTCTGATATCCCTGATATCTCAAGTACGAGGCGCTAAGCATAATCAATGTGGCATGATTATTACATCGTTGAAAGAACTCTTCCTGGAGGATTTGTTGCATCCTAAATTTAAATTATTAAAATTAGAAGAACAGGACTTGGACAAGCTCAATATAGAGAATGAATCAGATTCCATTGTTAAGACAAACACCGCTAGAAATAGATTGTTGGCGCACTGGTATTTCGAGGATCAATTACGCGAACAGTACGAACGTTTTGTTCTGAATCTCTCCGCGGTGGCTTCAGATACGGTAGATACAAACCGTGAGAAAGCCATATCTGCGATGAGTGGTCTGTTGATAGATAACTCCGAACAGGAGCACAAGTTGCTGGAGTTACTTGTGAATAAACTCGGCGATCCGAGCAGTAAAGTTGGATCCAAAGCTGTATTTTGTATAAATAAACTACTGTATGAACATCCGAACATGAAACTCGTAATTTTGCGTGAAGTTGAAAAATTGTTATTTAGAAGAAATGTGAGCCAGCGTACTCAGTATTACGCTATATGTCTGCTATCGCAATATGTTCTGAATAAAAATGATGAGGGAGTAGCTGCTACACTGATAGAAGTGTATCTTGCGTTTTTCAAAGCGTGTTTGAAGAAAGGGGAACCTGATAGTAGAATGATGGCAGCAATTCTAATGGGTGTTAATAGAGCATATCCTTTTGCCAAAATAGGCTCAAAGATAGTAAATGAACACATTGATTCTATTTACAAAGTGGTACACCTTGGATCGTTTAATGTCTCTCTCAATGCACTTAACTTGTTGCATCAGGTAAGTACTATGAAATAGCATTTGTTGCAGTATATAGAATATTTATGTTTTCAGTTTGTAATTGTATTTTCAGATAACAAGCAAGGATGAGTCTCAGGCGAATCGATTTTATTCAGCCTTTTATAGAAAATTATTCGATCGGCAAATAGGAGTAGCGAATAAGCATGGAGTGTTTCTTAACTTATTGTATCGAGTTCTTCAGAGGGATCAAAGTATATTACGTTCATATGCTTTTATCAAAAGAATCTTGCAAATTACATTTTATTTTCCTGCGAATATGATATGTGCCATGCTCTACATTGTCTCCAAAGTTCTTCAAGGACGCAAAGACTTAAAACATATGTTGCTTGAGCCATGTGAGACTATTAAAGTCGAGAATGACATATGTGAAGTAAACGATAGTTTATCAGATACGGAAGACGTTTGTGTAATAGAAAATGAAAACTCTATTATGTTATCGAATATTATGGTTGATGCGGATAGCGAAATGAAGTCGGATGTGAAGAAAGAGGCCGACGTAAAAGTTGAGATGCAAGATATAAAATCATACGATCCTTTTTGTCGGAATCCTTTGTATGCGGGTGCAACCAAAGGACTCAACGCCGAGCTTGAAGCGTTATCTAGGCATTTCCACCCGAGCGTCTCTTTATTCGCGAATCAAATTATCCAAGGTAACAAATTTTATACAAATTTTCTATACAGATTTATACATTGTTCATTATTATTCGATTTATGCATTTTTATATTTCAGGGAAACCGATCGAGTATACAGGCGATCCTTTGGAGGATTTGACGTTGATTCGGTTCTTGGATCGATACGTTTTTAAGAATCCGAAAAAATTGGAGGCCAAGAAAGTGCAGAAAAAGAATGATCCTTTGGCACAACGCGCCGGATATACTCCTAAGGGTATACGATCCCTTCCAGTCGATAGCGCAGCATATCTCGATGAGAGAGAGGAACGAATACCAGTAGATGAGTTATTTTTATATCGATACTTGAAACAGAAGGATGAAATTAAAAAGCGTGTTAAGAGAGAAGACGATGAAGATGAAGATGACGAAGACGCAGACAGTGTCAACAGTGAAGAGTTCAATGATATGTTGGATCGTATGGGTGGCGGTCAAGATTTCGACCAAAATTTCGACGACTTAGATATTGCGGCCGATATCCAACCTAGGAAGAAGAAAGGTAATAACATGTTTTTTTGACATAAATTTGTATAAAATGTGTTTCATCGAGATAAAAGGAAAGTTGCTCAAGCTTCAATATTTTGTATGTGTATATAAGATTTTATAAACAATAGGTCTTACTAATGACATTTATAACAGGTAAAGCGGATGAAGATTCTGATGATGACGAGGATAACGAAGATAATGTTAGTCAATCTGAGGATGACGACATCATCGATGATGCATCTGAAGATCTTGATGTCGTGGATGACGACGACGACTTGCAAGATTTAAGCGATATCGATCTTGCAGATGTAGACGATGAAGATCTGAGCGATATAGAGTTCAACGGTTCCGAAGATGAAGAGACTGTAGATGACGAATTAATTTCGAATTTGAATAAAAAGCTAAATTCGAAAAGGGGTCCGAAAAGTAAAGAGAAGAAGAAAGGAATTGATAGCAATATATTCGTATCGGCAGAAAAGTTTGCTGAAATGTTGGAGGAACAAAATAAAACAAAGGGAAAGCATGGTGGTAGTAACGTTTTTAGTAGTAGTGATGGCGCTAGCGCAAAGCAGATAGATTGGGAAATAAAACGACATCAACGGTTGAAAGGATCATTTGGGAAAAAACGAAAGTTTGTTCAATCGTCTAATAATAATCGGGCTAAAAAATTCAAACGATGAATATGTAATAAACAACTTCATAAACAACTTTACATTTGATTACAATAAACTTTGCTTTCCAATGACTTCTGTTTTATTTGAAGATCACTGTAAACAATGAAATCTAAAACGAATAATCTTTAATTACTAGTATATATATTATATATA